GGAGCAGGTGCTGGTATCGCGTTGGGAGCATTTGTTCCCATCGTGGCGATATATTGGGTCACGGCCTCTGTGGCAGCGCGAGTTGAAGCTTCTTCTATCATGCGTTGGAGCGCATCCTCGGTTATTTGAACCGTTCGAGGAGCAGGGAGTGGTGGATCGACGAGTGGTGGGTCCCGAGGAGGGATCACCTGAACCTCGCGAGGCGGATCCGCGGCACGTGGAGGGGGTGGCAAGCCAGAGCCTCCACGGACCGGGATGTTGTTAGCTGTGTCATTTTCTCTCCGAGCAGACGCCTCAGAAGGATCTTGTTGGCTACGTGATCTGGTTTGCATCGTTCCCACAGACGGTGTCAAAATGATGATGCTAATTACTTAGATCACCTGGGGTAGTGTAGAAAATGAACTGGGAGAGCAAATCGGATCAGTAGCTTGACAACTTGATGATCCTGAGGTACCTGCGAAATGAGCACACGTGAACTACGCCGGGGGTTGATCCGGCGGAAACCCCTCCGACGCTCAAATCAGACGTGCTGATAGTGGAAATAGTCCAGAGAATACAGTTGACAGTATTACTCAGTTAATAAGACGTACCTTAATAAAATGAGTAAAACCTCTATTTATATGTCGTTTATTGGGTTGGGTTTGCTTTGTTGGGCCCAAGCCTTACTTGAAGGTGTTTGGGCCTCAGTGATATTAGTCTTCGATATTGGGCTCGTAGCCCAGTAGATAAAGAAATTGTAGGCCCATTGGGTTGGCCCAATTAGGCATATCAATTATTAATATATTATCTTTATTATGTATTTATTTACAATTAATTATTAGGCACAACTTGCAATTACTTTTATTTTCATTTTTCATTCTATAGAAAACAGATTTCATTTTCATTAAATTGTTGGAAAACCAAATCAGGTTAAAAATGTTCATATATATTAATTTAGGTGGTGTGTGCAAAAGTTTTTAAAAATAGATTCTGAGTTTTTTTTAACTTATAATTTATTGTTAGGAATTTGCAAATTAACTTTTATTTTTTCTTTTTTCTAAAATAAGCTGCTTAAACCTATAATTTGAGATGTACTGAATCTGTTTTTTCTATTTAAGTTGACTTTTCAACATATTCGTAAACAACCTAACTTTTAAAAATAAATATTTAATGCCAATTTAACTCACAATCACTTACTTCAACTTTTGCAAACACTAACCTCATTTGAATTATGTGAAATTAGTTCTTAATTGTTATTAACTATAAAAATATATGAATAAAAATATTAGAATTTATTTTTCCAATTCAAATATTTTAAATAGATGAATACATTTTTCTCTCTTAATTTAATTCGGTCCTACCAAATCGTACTTAGGCATTCATGGAATTGATGAAGATGGGTGAGATTTCTATAGTGTTTTTTTTCACCAAAGTTCCAATTTATTTAAATTTTTCAGGACATAGAATTGATTAATAAAGATGGAAAATCATTTTTTTTAAATATGATTTTACTAGTAACTCACCCGTGCGATGCACGGAGATTAATTAAAAACATTAAAATGAGTTAA